CAAGCAGGCTCTACAGTCTTAATTTAGTTATTATTCTCTTTCAGGACAATAAAGAAAAAAAAAGGCTGAAACCTAAAATGCTCCACAAGACCAGGACTGGCTTATTTGATAACTTTGTCCCAGTCCCCATTAATCCATCTACCTTTCCTCCCACCTTGGTTTCTGTTTAGAGCTGAATTGGAGCTTATCTGTTTTCTAGCACCTGGGAAGATGGGAGATAATGCCATTTTGAAGATCTTCTCCAGGGTGCTCTGGGCACAGATGTGGTTTTCAGAAAGTGTTTATACCTCCATTTACAGAGAATAGAATGACAAGCATAAGATTAGCAATTACAGTCAATATTCAGAAATACAGCCCTAATTTCAGGAACAGCTAAGCACAGCAGCTGAAAATGTACAACATATGTAGCTCTGAATCCCAACCTCAAAAATGATTTTGTAACAAGAGTTGGCAACCACTTCTAAGAAAATCAGTTTAGTTCTTTTAATCCTGTAATAAATCCACTAAAGTAATGACATGATAATTTCAGGTACTTATAATTTTTCTCATTATTATGTTATTTAACATAGCATTTTGTCTTAAGTAATCTTCAGTATAAAAATAAGCATTAATATAACACATCACTTCATGTTTTTCCTTTCTCATTTTTACATGTATCATGTGAGAAAGAAATAGCCTAAGGCAGGGGTTCTCCAACTTTAGCAAGCAATAGAAGTCCATGGAGCATGTCTTAAAACCCTAATTTCAGAGCACTTCAAAAATTCAGGGCCCCAAATTTCTATATCTAACAAAAGTTCAGAGATGCTAAAGCAGAAATTGATCCAGGTGTCACAGGCTAAGAACCACTAACTTGAAGAAATCCCTGTAATTACTCACAGTAATTTAATTTGTGTACCATCGCATTGTTCAGTGATTTTCCTAAAAGGTTGGTTTAAAATAATCTCATATGCTTTTCTAAAACTGCTGTTCTGTTTAGTTAACCATTTAGCAGTTTTTCTAAAGAAACTTTCTCCTTTTTTCTCATTCATAAGACTTACGCTCTAATATTGCAATTTAAAATAAAAGTTGAGTTGTTGCAGAGATGATTCAGTGGTTAAGAGCGATTGCTGCTCTTTCAGAAGACCAGAGTTTGCTTCCCAACACCATGAAAAGTGGCTCACAACCGCCCAAAACTCCAGCTATAAGGGATCCAACACCCTTTTCTGGTCTCTGTATGTACCATGCAGAGAGAGAGAGAGAGAGAGAGAGAGAGAGAGAGAGAGAGAGGGAGAGAGAAATAATTTTTTTGGCTTGCTTGTTTGTTTTGTTTGTTTGTTTGTTGATACAGGGTCTAACTAGGTAGCCCTGGCTGTCCTGGAACTCATAGACATCTGCCTTCTTTTACCTCCAGGGAACTGGGATTAAATGTGTTTGCCAACAGTCCTGGTGAAGAAAGCTTGTAAAAAAGATGACACAGTATTAATTAAGATTAGATAATTAGAAAAATTAGATTTTCTTTTCTCCTCCCTTCCTCCTCCTTTCTTCTCCTTCTTTTGCTCTTTCTCACTTTCTTTCTATTTTCTCTTTCTTTCTTTTCTAGTAGTTAAACCTAGGGTCTGATGTCTATATTTAGTAGCAGGCTGATTTAAAGTAATTGCATTCAAAAAACAAAAAGCTTTCTTGTTTAAGTAAACATTTAACTTTACTAAAAATCTTTCCCTCTTTTTTCATTCTTAAGACATGTCCTCCAGTACTATAATTTAAGTTGTATATTCTACTTCTAAGCCATAAGCTCAGCCTCAAAGTTGATTTTTATTTTTTTAGGCTTACGGTCACAGTTGTCACTACTTCTACGCCCACCCCCCAATGAAAGTGGGGAAGGGCTTGCATTCTTAGTACATATCTCATGGCCTCATATCTGTTTTTAGCTGCTCCAGATGCCAAACTCTAAAAGTTTCTATTATAAATTGTAACATTCTAGGCAGGTATGACAGTGTAAAACACTCACAAAATCTATACCTTCAATCTCATGTGCTATGCTCAGGGGGACATTCTAGGTGTTCAGTAGCCATCTAAGGTGAAAAGGGACAGTAATAAAAAAAAATGTTTGAGGCTCCACAGTTATCATACCATAGTGAATATACTTTGTTTTGCATTATTTTTAGTTGGGTTTAGTTTTCTTAATGTGTACTGAAGAAGGAGAAGGGAAAGGTTGCATTTTAATTCAGTCAGTAGCAGATACACTCTTTTGCCATCTCCTGTTCCAGTGAGAGAAGTTGGAGTTATGCTAGCTCCCTCAAGCTCTTCTGCATCACCGTTTCTTCTAACCACATTCACTTGTCCTTTGATTAACTGTATAACTGGCATGTTGGTCTGCTATCTCCCTTAGTCAAACTTCCAACAAAGGTTTAGGGCAGAGCACAAGGGGGAAACTTCTGCATCAAGCCTCTCTTCTGTGATCCTTGCTTAACCCTGTGAACTCATCTGCAAATCTGCCTGCTAATGAAACCCAGAGTTGGGATGGTCTCATCAGACACTTGTATCACTGCTAAAGTTATTGTGAGTACAGTCCTTTCCTGTCATGTCCCTCTGATTACAGTACTGTCCTATCAGAGCTTTCCTTATCCGTCCTCCCCTGCAAAGGACATGCAATTCCGGTCCCCATTCTTAAAAGCGTCTGGAACACAATCCTCATCCAGTAGAAGGCTGTATGATTCTGGAGAGGCTGCTGAAAAGAAAATACTTTCTGGAGGGGGTAGGGTCTCACCATTGAGACTGTGCTGCATGCTATTAAGAGTGGGTGGAATTGTTAAAGAGATAAATGCCCTGCCTCTCAGCATCCCTGATTATTTTAGAAATACCCTTATAGAACCTTTAACATCACCCTAATCATCTTTCACACTTCTTAATCACCCAGACCTCTTTTAGAAAACTGTCAGGAAATTCCTGCTGCAATGATTTGATTAGAGATTAGCAGATATAGAAAGGTTTTGTTAAAGTTCAGTGGTCCAAAAGTCAGTGAAAATAATATTCTTAGGTGTTGGAAGTAAATATGGAAAGAACTCAAAACAAACTCATTCTAACCTAAGAGACTCAGTGAAATAGGATTCTTCATCTTCCTTTTGTCAGTTTTTTTTTTTTTAAAGAAAATGAGATTTGAGGATATTGTCTCTTTAACAATCTGGCTTTCTTTTGAGATGACTTTGTTGCTTGCAACAATCCCCAGCCTTCAGTAACATATGACCTTTCTTTTAGTTCTCACAGATGTTAAGAAGGTACCCTAAGGAAAGGTTCAGACCATTTGTTCAAAGTAAAAATGAATGTCTAAAAATTAAGCACAACCTAAGATGTGATCTATTTCTTTGTCCACTTGGGACTGTCTGGTCTAACAGCAGTTATAATTTGATTGAGGCTCAACTGCTGTTCTTTTTTTCCAAGACAGAATTAGCCGATTCTAGAATACCCCACAAGCAGCCTGAGAAGAGCACAGTTACTTAGTGACTGGGGGAAAAAATAACACCCTGGTTCTCTTCACCTCTCTCTCTTCCTCTCTCTCTCTCTCTCTCTGTCTCTCTCTCTCTTTCTCTCTCTCTCCTTTCTCTTCTCCTCCTCCTCCTCTTCTTCCTCTCTCTCTCTCTCTCTGTGATAATTTGACAAGTTTCTTACCTACTATAACTAGAATGTGAAACCAACAGATATGGAAACTATAGTCAATATTCTTTACAACATTTTTCAATGGGAGATGATATGGCGCAACCAAAAAGAGACTCAATTTTGCATAAGTATTATAAACATATTATGCCTATTTCTCATTCTGTTCACTGCATCTCATTAATTCGAGTCAGACAGTACAGGCCCCACAGACCGTGCGTCTGCTCCTCTGCACCCCCTTCTGCTGCAGCTCTGTCCCCAGATGGTCAGAATACATCCTCAAAGCTGACGTCTAGTCTAGTGAGCCAGAAATGGAATAAATCCCGGCTTTCCTATGGAGGAGAGTTTTGAAAAAAGGTAAGGGCTAATTTGTTGCGTATTTCACTGATTGTGTTGAATGATAATCAGAGCTGTTGAAAATTCCCACGCGTTAGCCTCCATGATGACAAGAACCCGGATCTCCATATTCGTGACCCTTTCTGGCAGTGACTGATACCTGGGTGGCCTTTTCTGAAACCCTTAGTGCTGAGTGGATTCTTTCAGAGAACTGAAGAAGCTACCGATAGGAGTCTCTTGGTGGTGGTGTGAGGGGAGATATAAGGACAGGGGAGATCAGGAGGTCAACACACGCTAATAAGGCTGTGCAGACCTTCCACTTTTGGCCATAACAAGTCCCGCTCTTTTTCTTCAAATCTACTTAACTGTGTGCCCCTCCTGGCTGCCCCTCTAAGGTCCGTTATCCCACCTTCCCAACGGAGTAGAAGCACCAGGATGTCAGGAATGCGCTGTACTCCAGGATCCCGAGACACCATCAGGAAACCACTAGCATCTAAGTAGTAAGCAGTGGTCTTGCAGCACCCATATTCCGCTGCTATTTCATATGCAAGACGCCTTCAGAACAAGGAGAAAGGTAAAAGGCCCAGGAGCATCCCTCTGCGCTGTCACATCCTCTTTTTCCCATTTAAAAAAAAAAAAAAGCTCTGGATCCCTGAGATGCTTTTCAAGATAAAGCTAGCCCCAGGGCTCAGGTGAGACCTGGGGAGAGAAAGCTCCCGGGTACCTCTTCTGCATCTTTTCTCTCATCTGCCAGGCTTCTCTATCCAACAGCTTGGCCCCTCCACCGGCTGCGCGCACAGCACTGAGGGGCGCGTCTTCACCCGGTGACTTCCGCAGCGAAGGCGCGCGGGGCGTGCTCTCAAGAGATGAGCGAAAAGTTGTGAGCACACTTGGTGGGGAGAAAGGGAGCCGAGATGGAGAGCGGGAGAGCGCAGGAGAAAGACAGGGAGGGGGTGGGGTGGGGGACTGCTTACATGAATTTCCAAGTGGTAGACCTGCCTCTGCGCTCTGCCCAATGAGATCCGTCAGGGGAGGCACCCGGCTCACTTTTCCACATCACTTCACAGTTACATTTGGCAGGCAGGAGGGCTCGCATGCCGGCGCGCTCAGCCCAGAATTAGTGGATGGATTTGGAATCTCCCTGCTTCCTCGAAGCTCCGCCGCCGCCGCCGCTGTCACCGCCGCCGACGTTTTGAGCGTAGACGGGAGCATAACCTTACCATCAGCTGCACTTTGGGGCTGCGGACACACAGAGCCCAGCGCGTCCGCTCAGCATCTCAGCACCAAGGCTCCGCAGCTCCGAGAGACATGAAGGAGATCTGGAGGTGCCTGCCCCGTGCGCCGGTGTCTGTTGCCACTCATTGCACTCGGGAGCCCATCTCCAGCCCCTCCAGCCATTTGTGAACCTGGAGGCTTGACCTTTGCCAGCGCGAAGTCCAACCCCCGTAAGTACTATCTTCCTATTCGAGTATGCCTTCAGGCGGGGAAGAGCTATAGAGAAGGTTTCTTTTAGGAATTCCCACGCGCCTCCGGACACCTCGCGCACCTCCTTTCCCCCTGTTGGTGGCTGCCGCGGAACTCTGTCTCCTTTCCTGGAATAGGTGAATGATGGGGATGCCTCGGGGTTTTTGCCTGACGGGTTTGCAAACTGCTCTCAAAGCGGATCCAGTCTGTAGCCTCAGGCTGTGCTCCTCCAGTTTTCCTACCTCTTCTGCCTTGCGTTCACCCGGCGGGTTCGCCGCCTCGCCAGGCAGTCAGGCGCCGCTCCAGCCGCGCGCCTTCACTGCGGGATTCGTGCGGTGAATGGGAAGCATTAGCCCCACCGCCTGCAGAGAGGAGGTTGCGAGCCCCAGGGTGAAAGAAAGCGGAGGGACCGCAGGGGCTCACGCGCTGCTTTATTGCAGGTCCGGGTCTCTTAGGCGTGGGAGGGCCGAGGGCCACTACTCTGCAGCGAAAGAGAAAGCCCGGGCGGGAGGATTTCCCACAAGTGGCTGTTCCACCCCGGGGGGCACCGTGCCCGCAGCCTGCCGCAAACTTGCGGGGCTAAGGAGTCATCCAGCCACTCCATCTTAGCCAAGATGCTGCTCAGCACCTGCGTAGGATCCTCAAACAATCCTGTGGGAGCTCCCGGGCTTGCGCTTAGAGAGGGCCCCTGGGCACCGGACACCCCCTCTCAGCGCCCACAGAGCCCGCAGATAAGCTACCGCGGGTTCAGCCTCATCCAGTCCTGAGGGTCTGGCCGCTCCCGTCTCTGGACGAGAGTCCTGCCTATGTTCTGCCAGCGCGTAACAGGTTCAGAAGGGACCTACCACGGCTTCCCTGGCTCCAGCTAAGTCTGGGAGATGGTTAAAACGTGCGGCCGCCTTTGCTGATACCAACAGGTATTCAACATTTCCTCTGCTTCTCCCTCCCCAAGACCGAAGCCCCCACCCCACCCCCAACCCAATCTGGTAGAAATCTCAAAGTTTTGTCGTAGCGGACCCTTCCCTGAAGGCACAGAGCCCGAAGCACATCAATGACTAGCCTGTTAGCCTCCATGAGAGGATATGGAAGCTGTTGGCTTGGGTTGATAAATGTAAAAAATCAAACAACATTAATTGTTTATTGTTGCAAACGCACATTAGTTCGTAATGGAAAATCAGGCTGGCAGCTGCTCTCTTCAGCTCCAATTGTAGGGCAGAGCTTATAACCAAGCAAGCGAGAGGGAGAAGAGGCCCTTTCAACTTTGCCACCCTCTCCTGAAGATTGCAGAGTTTCCTCTTTAGGGGGCACGATCCAGCAGTCCCTTAGTGCGAGGAGCTGCTAATCAGATCAGCCGCTCTTTTCTTTCACCAGCCTTCATGGGTTTTGTGGGAAAGAGCAGACGCGGGAGACTCTGCCAAAGCAGTGCCCTCTTCCTTAGGAGACCATCGCCGAGAGGGAAACTGGGGTTGGCAGGGACCGTTTTATAGCTCCTGTTCTCTTTATAACACTCTTGACAGCCATCTCCATGCTTAAAAGCCCTCCCCGGGCTGGCACCTCCAGCTTCATTATAGGAGCATTTCAACTGGAAAACTATATGCGAGAAAGATTTTTATGAAAGATTCGAGTGTGGGATTTTCCATCCATTCAGCCTCGCTGTTGTACCTCACTGCATGCAAAATGAGCCCTGTCGTTCCTGCTAAACAGCGCTGAAATTTCGCCCTGACTGTTGCTTTTCATCAGCTGTGTCCGGTTTTGCAGAGATTTGCTCTCTTTCTTCTCTCTCTCTCTCTTTACCATATGGTAGGTACTATTTCCAAATTCATGTATTCTCTCTCTCTTCTCTCTCTCTCTCTCTCTCTCTCTCTCTCTCTCTCTCTCTCTCTCTCTCTCTCTCTCTCTTTCTGAGATATTGAGATTCTTGTACTAAGAAACCTTACACTATTGAAGGAGGTTTTGTAAGTGTTTTTTTTTCTCATCAAAGATAGTGCCCCATAATCATTTCCACATATGTCTACCCACTTCCCTCTGTATTTGAAATTCTAGAACTGTACCCCTTATTAAATAATAGAATGGATAGCAACAGTCTGTAAGTCTACTTTAGCAGATTGGAAACCCCTTGTCACACAGTCGTTTTACGCTGGAGGAGCTGGATGGGATTTGAAATCAACTGTGATATATACGTTTTGCTTTTGTTCTTGCCCCAGAAGAGGGTAAGGAGTTGAGGAAAATCCCTCCTGAAATCAGAGAAGAGTGTTTCTGCCACCTCCCGGATGGCTTCATTCAGGAAGGCTCCAGGCAGTTCCTGCTCTTACTCTGCCCAACACACCACCCAAGAGAGCATGAAGACAAGCACTGACCATGACACACAGCCGCTATTTTAGAGGCACTGGCTAAGGATCTCTGAGACCTGTGCTGTAATTCTGTCATTCAAACCTTTTAATTCCCCTTTGCAAATTGGTTCTTACATTTTTAATGATTATTGCTATTAAAAACCAGTGCTTTGCTTTATTGTTTATAGTTTCCTGAAGCCCTGCAGACTCCAGATGGGTAAATCTCTGCACTCAGACCTATAGCACTTCTTGACAGTATTCTGTTTCTTGAGTTCTTGGTGCTGTATGTATTTAGCCAAAGAGTAGACAATTTTAGGGTAACTTCTACCTGCCTTGGCATATACATGTCAACTCTGAAAGAAAAGATGTCTTTTCCCTTGACTGGAGTATTTTATGACACAGTGGTCAAAACAGCATTCATCTATTGCAAGTTCTCAGTTTAGCATTGAATATAGTATCTACATGTGGACAGTGGTAACATAAACTATGTCAAAACTCCAAACAGACCAATGCCCAATCAAACCTGCTCAGCAGGATGGGGAAACCCCTTCAAAAGGCTTAAAGACTGATCTATAAATATACTCATCACAGAACATTTCCCAGAGACTATGCAGAGAGTTAAGGTCTGGTGGCCTGGAGGACCAGATGGTTGGAGCAAAGCAAGGAAAGTCTGAAGGAGGATGGAGTGGTTCTGTTCAAGAAACTGTACCTGGGTTTTACTATCCAGGTTGCTTTCCTTGTTTATTGGTAGGAGAAAAATATTACACATATATTGAAAAGTTAGAGTCTACTCTTCAACTACTGAGAAAACATTATCAAAAGAAGTAAATGAAGGTTTCAAAGAAAAACATTATGTTTATTGTTTTTACTCAAGGATATCATACCTCCTGGCTTTTTCAACCTGAATTTGAGCAAAATATTCCTGTAAAACCACAAGCTTTACAAGGGTTAAATTGATGGTCAGTCTCTACTTCCAGCCACTTTGCTGGTCATCAGCAAAGTTGTGTGCTTGACAAATGAAGACAAACAAAATCAGGGTGGACTTTTGACTATAGGTGCAGTTTAAAGTCCCAAAGGGTTTTTTTTGTTTGTTTGTTTGTTTTGTTTTGTTTTTTGAAACATTGTGCTCAAAGATGCTGATAAGTATTTCTATACTTTATACTTATTACAAAGTTATTCAGAGAAGCAAAGAAAAACATTAGCATTTTCTTTTTGCAGTTTGTGTTCAGCGCTGTCGATATTCACAGAGGAAATGGGAGTGACTGCTTGTTAATTCAAGGAAAAGCTCCTAACTTTGAAGAATTACCTTTCTACTTCAGGGTATAGCAAGAAATCAAGGCAAATTCACTCTGCTTTCTCTTATACACCCAAATACACACACAGCACATACCATCTAACTTCTCAAAATGTGCCTAGATAATTAATGCATGGATTTTGCTCAAGTACAAGAATTTTATCATGTTTCTTTTTCCATTTCATCTGCCGTAAAGTGTCTGATTTACCCTCCCAGTTATTCAGATTTGTAGCATAATCAGTCTTCTAAGAAATACTGTCTGTCGGGATTTATGACACTGTGGGGATTTCTCCCTAGAATCCCATAAATGTATAATTATGCACTGGAACAATTCTTTCTTCTTGATGGGCAAAGGCCATTAGCTGATGTAGTGAGGCTTAATTAAACAAGGGGCTATTCGTCCTGTCTCTTTTCACTCTCCCAGAAGTTGAGATGTACAATCTACTTGTGCTGAACTATTGGTTCCTGTCTCTGGAACCCGCTTCAGATGTAACCATGAGCAGAAAATTAGTTGAACCTGGCAACTTCAAAAGGTCAGAAAAGAAATAAGTTCAAGGGATGCCATTTAGCGTCTTCTCCCATATGTTGCTGCTAACTAAATCTCCATCACCACTTCACAGAGTAGTGCTGGGGCTCATACTATTTCCCACTCTATCACACCCAAGCTTTTATTTCCTGAGTTTTAAATGTCATATACTAGTCCCTATCATAAATATCACTCACCTTTGTGCCTTTAAATGTCTTTTTAAAAGTTCTACTTGTAGGTAGAAAGGTATAGATGTGGTTTTATGTATCTTTTGGAAAAGTATCATGAGAAAAAAAAACAATATTTGTATTTATAAACTTCAGAGGCTTTCCTTTCCTGCCCCCATTACTAAAGAAAATTTTAAATCCTGGAAGATGGTTGGTTCAGGGCCAAGAACAGAATTAGTGCCTAGTAAACATTTACTTAATGCATTAATAAATTAGCAAAGACTCTGCTCCCTACTTTTCCTAAGCTATTTTCATTAAAAGAGAGGGAGGGAATACAATCACACATAAACTAAATTATTGGGATTTATCTACCACAGTTGTATCTACAGAAATTTCATATATCCTCTGTTTATTTTAAATGCATTTTTTTCATAGAAATCAATTTACCAATGTTCCACAGAGTATGGCTTTTCTCCGTTCACAGTAATTTTAAACGGCATGGGACTATAACAAAATATGACACAATTCAGCTTTGCAAAACAGTAAATACATCTAGGATTAGACATATCACAGAATGTTATCAAACTGTATATGATACATAGTTATATCCTATTGGGGGACATAGTCTTATTATCCAATCATGGTATGGACAATTCAGGGTCTG